CCATTTCAAACCTTCATTGCTTTCCTCAAACTTCCACTCCGTCCCTCACCAAACTCTTCGTTCCTTGCAGATAATTTTGCTTCCTAATTCTCAGGAAAGAACAAATGCCCCCCTGCCCAGTCTGCAGATCTGTCTGCATCCCCGCCCATCCTTTCCCCTTCTGCAGTGAAGAAGGGGTCTTCCACTTGCGTATCGGATTCCAACACTGGTCATCTCGGAGGCATCGACTCTCCAGTTATCTCTGTCTCTCTTATGTCTTCCACTCCTCCCTCCATAGTGCCTCCTTCCTTTCAGCATTTAAACAAGTCTCTGTCATTTTCAAATACATTCCCCTTCAATCACACATCCTATTTTCCTATCCCTTTCCATTCCGTTCATCTCGCCTCTTCTCCACCATTATCTAATTTGCTAAGAGTTGTATATGTTCATGATCCCCATTTCCTCTCCTTCTACTCATTTTTCCACCCATCACACCATGATCTCTGCTCCTACCACTTCCCCCAAGAGTCTTTTCTGCTAAGTCCAATGGATTCCTTGTTTTGGGTCCTTGTTTCTCTGTTAAACCTCTTGGAAAGATTTAATGCTGCTGACTGCTCCCTCCTCAGCTTCTATAATGTCATAACACAAACCTCCGTGGCCACTCCTTCTCAATCCCCTTTCACAGCTCTTAAATATGAGTGTTTCTCAGGATTTTGTCCAAGACCCTCTTCCCCCCACCCTTTCTTTTTTTGTGGCTGACTTGTACGGGGATCTGAACCTGTGACCTTGATGTTACAAGGCTGCGCTCTAACCAGCTGAGCTAACCGACTAGCCCTAAGAACCTCTTTTATTCTACACACTCTCTCTGGACAATCTCATCCACTCCAGTAGCTTTAGTTGCCATCTTACGTACTATCTGAAGGCTCCCAACTTTGTACCTCCAGCTTACCATCTTGCTTATAAACTTCAGAACTGCATATACAGCAGTCTACTGGTTATCTCCACTAGATGCCTCTGAGGCACCTTAAAATCAGCAATCTCAAACTGAACTCAAACTGTTCTCCCATACCTGCTCTTCCTCCTTGTCAGGCTGGGTAGCAACACCATCTACCCTGCTGCCCAAGACAGAAAATCTTAAATATCATCTTTGACTCCTCCCTCTCTTGCTGACTTTACATCCAGACTATCACCATGCCCTGCAATGCTGAAAAGGTGGATGAATGTGAAATTCTAGTTCTAATTGTGGTTTGGACAAATTACTTAACCTTTCTCAGCCTCAAGTTCTTCATCTATAAAAAGAAAATAGTAATACCTAATTCAAGTGGTTGTTGTCAAGATAAGGGAAGGCTTTACTTGGAAGGCGATGAATAAATGTAAGTTCTTCATTCAATAAAGATGAGTGCTTTTCTGTCCCAAATCCTCTCTCTGCCACTCCCAGTCATTGCCTTATTGTTGACTTGGTGTGTACATAGTCTCCTGACTTTGAGAATCCCCAGGAATTAAATTTTCCATAGTCCCTTCATGATTGAAGACTACATGTTCTGTCTCATCACCCCTTTTTCACTTGGTCATGGGACAGCTGGAGTTGAATGGGGGCTGGGATGCAGGGTCTGGATGTCACCTTCATCGTCATCTGGTTAGATGTGTGTGTGTTTCCAAGTCTTGTCTCTTATCTGTTTCCCAATGCTTCCATCCCACACTGTGCCACTGTAGGTCGGATCCTCATCTTCTCACTGGGCCACTGCAACAGCCTTCTATAAGGCCTTCCTTTCTCCAGGATCTCTCTCACTTCAGCCCATTCTCTACATGACCGTCAGAGCAGGTCTGTCTTCTACGCTGAAACCTGCCTTGGCTTCTCCTTTTTGACAAAATGAAGTCCACACACTCTTGCATGCAGCCTGCCTTGCCAGCTTATTGCCTTGCGTCCCTGGACCAGCCCAGTGGCTCAGTCCTCTGTAACCCAGTACCCCTTTCATAAGGGAGCAGGAAGGATACTTGAACACTACTTGAGAAGCTGAATGCTACACTTCTTGGGTCTAGTGGTTAGTGGGGCTGGCATAAGGCACTCAATAAAGACCAAATGTACTGAAAACAGGGACCAAAAGAGACAGGAAACGCAGAAGGACTCAGAATTCTGTAAGGAAGTTAAGAATCACCAGTCATAAAATAGGGGGGTGTGGGGGAACATTAGTCTTTTACCCAGTATCAAAGTAATATATGCTTATCATGAAGAATTTGGAAAACATGAAATAAAGCAATCACCTGCAGCCTTCCACCTACTGGTAACCACTGCTGTCATTTTGATATCTTTCCTTTCAGTCTTTCTTCCATGCAATTTTTGTTCTTTTTTACATAGTTTTCATGGTAAAATGTATACATTTCATAGTTAATGTATCATCATATTATCTTTTAATTCCATTTTTCCACGAACTTTTTGAAGTACCCTTGTATAATCAAATATGCATCCTACTTTATCTCATCTATCACAGATCTTTTCCCAGGATAGGAAAAATTCTTCATAAACAATTTAAAAGCTGCATGCTATTCCACATGTGACTATAGTATAGTTTTTTTAACCTTCTGCTATTGCTGGTCTTCTAGAGTCTTTCCAATAAATAACACTGAGGTGAACAGTTTTGCAAGTAAAGCTTTTCCTCCTACATTTATAAGTTTTCTAAGCCATAAATCCATGACTTGAATCACTGAGGATATAAAAATTTCTAAGCAATGCAGACTTTTGAAATGGAAAAAATGAATATAGGACTGACCTAAGCTGCAAAGAGAGAGATGAGGAGAAAAGGGTTGTAATTAACAGATTTTTAAAAAATAATTATTTTTTATTTTACTGAAAGAGGACTGGAAAGATCCAGGCAGTGCTCTGTAGGGAAAACATGCCTTTGACTTGAAGCTCCTGGCTTCATGATGGTAAAGAAGGGCTTGTTTCTGTTTTTGTATTTTCATCTGGGTCAGTTAGAGGACAAACCATTCCTATGAGCTCGTTTCCCTCTGAGGAAGAGAAAATTCGTCCAGCATCTAATGATGCAGATCATTAGCTATGTTAACAGCCTTACAGTTATAAAAAAAAAACAAAAATTATAATAATGTACCCTCCTAATGTGCAGTTAATTTTAGTTAAAATTTCCCTGGTGATATTAAAACCCTGTGAATTTATAAATATAGTAATTGGTTCCACACTTGGAAATGTTAAAGCTGCCCTAACCAACTGGCTCTAGCAGGACACACAGAATATCCCTGAGCACTGGAGGAATTCTGCACTCACCTGAGTGCTCCCCTCCAGAATCCAGAAAGAACCAGGACTTTACCAGAGTCCCTGCTCCTGATCTTCCGTAACCAAAAGAAGCTAATGAGTGTCTCAAAGTTAACATGTCCAAAATCAAACCTTTGACTCCCTGCTCATCCCCAAATTCAGTCTTCCCGCTCAGCAATGTTGTTCAAATCAAAAACTTGAACTGTCCTTGATTTCTTCCTTTCTGTCCTTGCCACTCCCAACATCAAATGCATCAGCATATCCCGTTGCTTCTAAAAATTTACTTCTGAAATGTGTCTCAAATTGTCTATTTCTCTCTATCTTGCCCACCCACCATCTAGTCCCAGCCCCTGTTGTAGAGAACACTAACATTTATAAAGCAAATATATTTCACAGGGCCTATTTTCCAAAGCCCTGTAGTCTCAGGTTTAGCCTAACCTTTTGGAATTACATATAGAAATGTTAACCTTGCAAAAAACAGGAAACTTTCCCCAGGCTAAAGTCTCTGATATTGATATAGAATTGTGGCACAGCAAAGTTGCTAGCTCTCAAGGACAGATACCCTTGAGAGCAGGTTAACCTACTGATTGATATGTAAAGATACTAGGAAAATTGCTGTAGGGAAAAACAGTGTTTGCTAAGATCAAGCTTTTGTTGGTGGATCAACTTAACTTTTTGCAAATTGTATTATGGAATGTCACTTTGCTTGTTCCATTGATGTTACCAGCCTATATTGTTAAACTATACTTAGCTATAACCCCACCTGTGTTCTTCTCCTGTAACTTGCTGGTCTGGAGAATAAATGCAGGGCGAGAACCCCAGTTCATGGTTAATTTCCAAAAGGAGGAATGCCTCTCTCTTGAGGGTTCCAGGAAATTAACCCCTTCAGGGTCTCTCACTGCTCAGAAGATATTGGCTTTGAGTAATCCTTTTGTGGCTCCATCACTCAGGGGAAGAGAGGTGATAATTTCATGTGAGGCAAAGCAACACCTGTCACTGCTCACCTCAGCTCCCCAATGGCTGCCTCCTGCAGGCTTCTCCTCTGCACTCTCCTACAGTCTGTCTTTATCTACACAGAAGCCAAGGGTATCTTGCCAGAACAGAACTCTGATCATGTCACTCATCCCTCCCTTAAAACAGGTTAGAGGCTTTCCTTTGCTATTAAGGTAAAGGCCAAAAATTGTAACGTGGCCAAGAAGGTCTTGCATCTCCTGCCTGGCCTTCCTCCCCAATGCCACCACCGCACAATCTAGGTAGCCCCCACCTCCTATTTCAGGAGAGCCATCCTTCATCCCGATTCCATTTAGTTCAGTTATTTACTTCCACAAAAACATCGGGGTTTTTTTTTTCCTGCTACAGAAACCTACTTTAATTTGAAGTTTTACATATGTATACATATTCATTGGTGTGATTGTTTGGTTGCTGTCTGTCTCCTCTTTTAGAGTAAGATCCGTGAAGGAGGCCCCTCCTTGCTGTTGTCACTGATCTGTCTCCCTCAGCTAGCTCAGTGCCTGGCACAAAGTAGGAGCTTATAAATATTGGTTGCATGATGAATGAACAAGTAGAGTCCTGGTAACAACTCTCATTGATGACAGGGTCCCCGTAAGGTGTGGGCTCTTCCCAGAGTGGGCAGACTCACAACATATCAGCTAGAGGGAATGTGATTTTGCTTGATTTTTGTTTTCATTTTAGCTGTTGGAATGGTTAAGAGTTGCCAAAAACTTACTTGTTTTTCTCTTTTCTCTTTATTTAGCTAAAGCTTGCTTTCACTCTGGACCATGAGACTGGATTGCCTCAAGAATGTCATATCTATGAGTACCGTGACAGCAACAAGTAAGCCACCCAGTGGGAAATAGTGTCACCTTACCATTGTATGCAGCAGAAGTACCTATAGCCTGCTGGCACTGGGTTTCCTTACAAAGGGGTTGTCAGCAAGGGAGTTACATTTTTTGCTACTGTACTAGAAAATAGCTGGCACAAAAATACTTCTGTAAAATCTTTTTTGCCTCTAAATATAGGACTTGAAGTACTTGTATAGAAGAAATTGTGGTGTGTTAGAAATACTCACATATTCAAATGCAAACCATCCTGTCTGTCCGGGCTGCAGCTGTCCGCTAGAGCCACCCTGCTCTTGGTCTCCAATCCTGTGCACGCTAATTTGATTCACTGTGTGACTTTGGATTTTGTTGTAGTTCCGTAATCGCTGTCTGACTATACTTATGTTTATGGGTTTTGTTGTTATGATTTACCTTGTGAATTTTATAACTGGGAGATTTCTGGGTACTTAGATTTAACTTGGTGGCCTTGCTGGAGGGTGGCACCTGGCATAATTTTATAGCACCTCCTTTCTTCATCACAGACCACCTCCTTGACTGTGTGTTTTAGTTTACATGACAGTGGAAGGGGTGGGGACTGAGGCACAGGGAATGTGTGCTGATGATGACGATAATGACAGCAGCTACCATTGAGCACCTGCTACATGTAAAGCACAATACTGGGATAACACTTGTTATCCCGTTTAATCCTCAAAACAATCTATAGAGTGTTCTTTTATTATTTTTGTATTTGCAGAAGCTGAGTCTTAGGGAATTAAAGCAACTTGCTCAAGCTTACTTGGCACAGCTGTGAGAGACAGAGTCAACAATATCATGTTTACTCTGGAAAGAGAATAGATGGAAGACAATTGTCCCAAGTTGTTACTTATGGAAACCCCAGTCAAGGATAAGAGGAGTCCCCATCTGGACTTGAGGATAGTCTACTCTGGTCTCATTGTTTAACTGTCCAAGACTTTTAATATTATCCAGTGGAAGGAAACAATTAGGCACGTGACGGCGGAAATGTACTTTACCTTCCAGAAGAGAAACGCATTTCTTCCTCAAGAATTGTTGCTCTCTTATGAGTAGAAGATAGGTGACTGAGTGCCCTCATGACCAAATCTCCATTCAGATTGCCTTCAAGGCATTGTTAGTCTTTGTAAGTTATCTTTAGGAGGATGCCAGAGTAAACCCCCAATTCCCACCAAATTAATCATAGGAAAGATTGGCCAAGCATCCTTTGACACCTTTTTTCATCCTCTTAGATGGCACTATTTCTGGAAGACATTTCTAGCATTTCTAGGCCATTGTGTCAGAATCACCATCTCAGTTTCTTATAATGCTTAATTCAGCAGAGAAGTGACCTCTCTGGCAGGGATGTCATGTTAAAGTACATCATCACCAGCCTAGTATACAGAATGTCCACAGTAAGTGTTGGTTGCCTCTCCTTCCCAAACAGAAAAATTGGCTCATGACTTCCTTCTGTTTTCCCAGTGCCAGCAGGGCTGTATCCATGAGTTGTGGCTATAGTCAACAGTATGTTGATTGGGAAGGAGGGTGTGCACATGACTTGGACAGCCCTCAGTTGGGTGTGATGCTCTCTTGTTCAGAGGCAAACTGCTCTCCCCACTTGTGAATTGTGAAGTGTAGCATGGAAGACCCCATGAGCCTGACCATGACTTCTCCTCTCTCCCAGCCTCTTCCCTGTCTGTGTTCCTCTGTTCACTTTTAGGGTCATTTCTCCTAGAATGCCTGAATCCAAATATTGGTGTAATAGTAGCATTTAGGAAATGAGGGTATTCAGCCCAGGCCCCAAGGAGCCCAAGTTGTCTCAGGCCAGGTAATGTGAGAGCAGCAGCAGCAGAGTGATGACATTCTACAAATGAAAGAAACTAGCTTGAATAGTAGTTTAACACAACAAATTATTGATACTACTACTTTTCTGGGTATTCCCTGGGTATTCCTTACATTTACAGTAAAGTGTAATCATTTTATTATTCATCTCTGTTTGCCAAATTCAATCCATCAGCACAAAAGTTGTTCCAAACAAGTATGAGGCTGTTGGACAGTTCTCCCAAGTGGTTTTTACTTTCAAATGGAATGGTACTGATAATGAGCACTCTACTTTTGTATTCCCTAGATTATCTATCAATTTCCTTCCCTGGAATCTCCTGCTAGCCCTGAACCTTGACTCTGTCATCCTGTTCCCCTTCTACCTTAAAGGGGCTTATTGCCTTCTCTGGGCTCCAGGGAGGACAGGCCCTGGGACTTGTCCATCTCTGGTGGGACTTGGACCCTGCTTCCTCTTTGGCTAGAGACATGGCTCTCAGGTAAACATTTTTAAAGCTCTGAGGTTATTAGAGGAGAGAAACTGTTCTATTGTGCCTTATGTTAGATTAATAAAGCTCTCTACACCAGATTATTCTGTCAGCCTCCCAAAACTGTTCAAATCTGCATCTAAGAGGTGTGAGGCCTCACTCTCCCGATTTTCTCAGATACTACCAATCACTACCCATGGACCCAACGACCACCTTCATTTTCTCTGTTGTAGAAAACTTGACCTACCTTTAATAATAAATCCAGTAAATCAAGGGTTCATTGAGTCATTTTTCTTAAATTTAGGTTTGGAGATCTCTTTACAAGGGCAAGAAACAAGGCCTAAAAGACTGAATAGTTTTTTATGGGAATTCAGTTATGCATTTGTTAAGCCCCTGCTCTACACAATGTGTTGTGCTAAGCGTGAGGGAGACAAAGATAAATTAGACCCAGTCCGTGCCCTCAAGGAGTTTGTACAAATAGCAAAGTACACTCCAGGACACTCTGGGATGATGATGTTCCAGCAGTGATGAGAATCAAGTGCCATAAAGGTAACAAGGAGGAAAGTAAGTGCTTCTGACTTTGGAGCACCATGTGGATGGTGGTGACCTTCACAGACAAAGAGCTTTGCCCAGAATGCTCCCTTCTCTCCATCACCACTGCTGCCTCCTCCTCACTGCCTGGACTGTCACACTGCTTTGCACACTGCTCTCCCTTCTGTCAGCTGGTTGACCTCCAGTCTGTCCTCTCTGCAGCCAGAGTGAGCTTTGCATGTTTCTTCATTCTGGTTGCTTTTGAGACCTTATTTTTGTCTTTGGTGTTCTGCAGTTTTTCTACATTATGTCTGAGTGGATTCATTTCTACTTATATTCTTTAGGACTCAGTGTAGTTCTTCTCAGATGGAAATTCTTACCTATTATCTCTGATTCTCTTTGGTTTTCTCCAGTCTCTCCTGGAACTCCTGTTAGAAACCCACTATCTTATTTTATCTTTCCTATCTTTTTTCTATCTCTTTGTCTGCCAGTGCTACATTCTAGGAAACTTCCTTAAAAGTGTCTGCCAGTTTAATCTCCTTGTAGCTGTTTGTAATCTGCTGCTTAATACCCCTTCCTAATATGAGTGTTTTTATTTTTAATTTTCAGAAGTTCTATATGGTGCTTTTAAAAATCAGCCTGTTCGGGCCGGCCCGGTGGCGCACTGCGCTAGTGCGCCGCTTGGGAAGCGCGGAGGCGCTCCTGCCGAGGGTTCGGATCCCACATACAGACCGGTTCCCGCTCACTGGCTGAGCGAGGCGCGGGGGCAACACCGAGGGTTGCGATCCCGTTGCCGGTCCTGGTCCGGTACGGGGGCGACACTGAGGGTTGCGATCCGTTGCCGGACATGGAAAAAGACAAAAAAAAAAAAATAAAAATAAAAATAAAAATCAGCCTGTTATTTTTGGGGTATTTTTAGTGTCCTAGTCTTTAATTATAATTTCTATTCTTTCTCTCATCTCTAATTATTTTCATTATACTGATTTTATAGCTTCTTTCAGATCATTTGATTATTCCTAGTTCTAAGGGTACCAGTTCTCCCATTTGTTTTGTCTGCTGACTCACCTTTACATTTATTTCCATATGTGGTTTGTTACTTTTTATTGTAAGATCTTCCTAAGCATGGCTGTGTTTACTGTGGGAGTTCCGTGTACTGTGGGTTGTGGATGTGTTCTTTCATCACTTTTCTATTTGTTCTCAGGACCCCAGGAGTTTCATAGGTCCTGCCAGTTTGGATGTTAACCTCTTGGTTTAGAAGTCCCAACACCTGTGTAACATGCATTCAGACTCCACACCCATGGGCGGTGTGGGCTTGAGACTCCCGTTTCTCAAAGGAGATGTCTCTACTCTGGACCACATACAGACATCCCTCTGGACTGTGAGAAAGGTCTTCCCGATTCCTTGTTCAAAAACCAACAGCCGATCCTGGCTTTATGTGGGGGTTTCAGTTCCAGTTCTGTGGCTAGATCTTCTGCCTCTGTGGGCATTAAAATCCCAGCTCCTGTAATTATATCAAAGTCTGATACTCCCAACCCCCAGTTGCCATGGTAAAAGTTACAGCTCTGATTTAATCTCCTCTTCATTTCAATCATCAGGGATTTTCCCTTTATTCTGTCATGATCAGTTTTATATTTAGATTATTCTTTTGGTATTTTTTACTTCTCACTTCTCTGTGATCATTTTGGGAAAGAGGTCCATATCAGGTCAGTCTACCATCTTTTTTTTTTTTTTCTTTTCAGTCTACCATCCTGTCAAAACCAGAAGTCTGAATAAACTTTTAAAAATGCAAATCTGATTACTCACTCATTCAACACTGTATAGGGAGTTTCTGCTGTGTACTAGTGTAGTACTAGGCACTGGGGCTACAGAGCTGAGTGAACACAATGCTGCCGTTAGAGGCTCCTGGGCACCTGTCAGCAGCAAGACAGCTCTGTGATTGCCCCACCTGCCTACTGTATGGACCCATCCTCTCTTCCTGCTCCAGTGTCCCCTAGAGTTATGCCCACCCGACCCCCTCAAGTCTTCCTCACACAATGTCTTCCTGTATGACCAATCCATTTCCTGTTTCTAGAACACCCCTCTTCCCTACAGCCCCTTCCCACCCATCTGGGTCACCCCTGCTTCTCCTTCCACTGTCAGCTAAGTATTACTTCCAGGAAGCCATTCCACA